GACATGGTTGTGACAAGTGTTATGTGCATTGAGAAAGAATAAGAAATTAAGGAGGATGTACCATTTCGAGGGACGTATCGCGCGCCGCGACGGATACTATATTTCGAGGGACGTGTCGCGCGCCGCGACGGATATTATATTTCGAGGGACGTATCGCGCGCCGCGATGGATGCATGGACAGATATGTCCCCCATGGGTCCCGGACTGAGAGACAGCGGGTGTGTATCATTAGGTCAGACATGCATCATTATACTTGACATTGCATTTCATTGCATTGCACATTTTTATTATTAATGAACTTGATCTTGTGTGTTGCTGATCTTGTGAGTGCCTTTTTGTGAAACTATTGATGAATATTGAGTTGTTATTGAGAATATATGATCTGTTAGAGTGCTATTGTTGAGCTGTATGCTTGGTAAACTATGAATTGTTAGGTTAGGCTGGTTTTATGCAGGTTGTAGTTATGGAGGTTAGGATGGGGCGTAAGGAGTACCCGTATTCTGTACCCTTAACTTGTGTTTAGAGGTTTGCTTGTTGAGTACCGTGTGGTTTGGTACTCACCCCTTGCTTCTACAATCTTTTGTAGGTTACGAGCCCGGATCTTCGTGATACCTTCCATTCTCTTCGTTTCCGAGGCTTTCTGTGGAGATCTGAGAGGTAGCTGTTTGTCATCTCAGCGAACCTCCTTACTCCTGTTTATGATTTTGTTTTACTTGAAAGACAACATCATTTGAGACTTGCGTATTTTATTTCAATTCTAGTATTTACATTAGAGGCTTGTGCACGTGACAACCAGGTTTTGGGGATTGAATTAAGTTGACTTGTTTTCGTAATAGTAATTGCTATTGAACTTTGCTTTATTTCCGCACTTTATCGAAATGATTGGGTTTTAGGCTGACTTGTCTTGGTGGGATACGACGAGTGCCATCACATCCATTTTTGGGTCGTGACATGGAATGAGGTAAGTTATTGGACAGTCCATGTTTAACACGCAGGGGATTTTTGCTCCGATTGCTTCAGTTGAGTACAAGGGGAAAGTCTTCGTGTCTGGTCAGGTCCGAAATGCCAAAACATATGGCTTTACATTTTCTCTACATGCATTCTAATTTCCTATATAACATCAGTACTAAATTTCTCTCTTTTATTATCTAGGCTAATAATGCATACATCTTCCTTGGGTTGGGTATTTGGTGCAATTTGCATTCATGATGATATGCTCCCGGTAGCCTGTAAGTTCTGCATAATGTTACTTCGTCCATATTATGTTTCGTGTGTGGTGGGTGCAGGGATATGTTGATGTGCAATTGATTGAGTTAGAAGAGCTACAAAATGATGCTACTCCTAACTTCGTAGAGAAAGTTTTAACTTTGTTTTATAAAGATTCTTCTCGGTTGATCCATAACATTGGCCACTCGCTGTGAGTATCTTTCTCCTGTTCTGGTGTTCTTTACTAATTTTCTTAATCCAAGCTTGATAACTATATGCACCAGTTCAAGGGCAGTAACAACAAATTATTAAACTAGATAGTTGAAATAATGCTGCATAGTTGAGTCATGTAATATAGTAATTGGTCTTGTGCAGCATTGTCAAGTATCTATCGAAAACAACCTCTCTACCCCACAAAGGTAAGGATTAGGTTATTACACTGTGAACGTTATGTTGTCGTCTGGTGGAGCATTGGAGCGAAGAAGGTCAAAACTGAATGTACAGAGTTCATGGAATACTGCCTAGCAGGAAATGTAGAAGGGCATTACTAATCTTTATTGGGTTTATTTTATATACATCCTAAATAATTTTTGCAGGAATAACATAGTGTAGGTTACTTGCCTCTTCTTTTTTGAATTACTAATCCCTTTATTATGGGTACTTATTGAGTTATGATATGATAGTGTATTTTAAAAAAAAATATTATTACGAGTTCCATTTTGCATTTTATGGGTTTATGGAACGAAACATGACGTATTGTCTAGTCTATTTAGTCTCTGTTGCACATTCTTACTCTTTAGGGGTCGTTTGGTGTGATGGATAAGATGAATTAATCTTGGGATAACTTTGTAGTGGCCTTTAATTCATTGTTTGGTGAGCAAAGATAAGGATAACTAATCCCAGGATTAACAATTAGTCCTGGGATAAGTTATCCCTCACTGGGGGTGGTATAGTAATCGCAGGATAAGGTGTGTAAATTAACAAAAATACCCCCCTTAAACTCTCTTTTGTTGAGTTGTAGTTGATTTTCTTCTGAGAATCATGAATCCGAAAGGGGCGATCTCATATCCTATCGCCTTGGGAGAGCAGAGTCTCTGCTATTACCATTTGGTTTTGGCCATGAGATGAGATATGCATTCTTTTGTTAGTTATATATTCTAAAAAAAAACTCTCTTTTATACACCACTTTTACATTCATACAAATTAACATAATTTTTAACAACATTTATAATAACATTCACAGCTTTAATTATTCGTTGTTATTATGATAAATATGTTTTTCTATTAAAAATTTACATTTTATAAATACAATTTTTATTTAAGAATATATTGTAAATTGAATTTATTTGTGTAATTATTATGTTTATTTATATTTTGATTTCTCTTAAAATATTCACTCCACTACTAAAAATTACATATTTTTCATTAAATAGTTTATTATTACTCACTTAAAAATTATATTTTATCTATAATTAAAATGTAGATAACTTTATAAATTTTCTTTTACTTTAATAAACTTAAAATGAAAGTTTTATTTTTAAGCTAAATGATGAGAGTTTTATTTTTAAACTATATAAGATGAAAGTTTTATTTTTAAGCTAAATAAGATGAAAATCTTATTTTAAGCTAAATAAGATGACCATTTTATTTTTGAGCTAAATAAGATGAAAGTTTAATTTTTAAACTAAATAAGATGATAATTCAATTTTTAAAACATACGGCACAATATGGAAATGCACACACAAAAATATTTAAGTTAAATAAGATGAAATTTTTATTTTTAAGAAAGAATAACTAAAGCTTGCAAAGAAAATGTAAAAAAGAAAAACTAAATAAGGTGAGGGTATTTTTGTAAACAAACAACTTATTCTCAAAAATTATACAAGGAATATTAGTTTGAATATGACAAACTAAACAAGCAATATAAATTAATTCCAGCATAACTAGTATTCAAACCAAATATGCTCTGGAACATGTTGTATGCTCATATATGCTACCAAAGAACCATATTAAAGTAAATGCTCTTACATACGTTATTTTCATGGAGTTTGAAATTCCACATGTGGAAATTCGGGACAATATTATATTTCAATTACAAAATTGAGAAGTGATCAGCGCGCTAACACTACAAGATGAAGAAAACATCTAGACACAGAAAATTGAAAGTCACAAACTGGGCCGTGTTTTGGCAAAATGTAATAAATCCATTTCTAGCACGAACAGTTAGCCCAACAAACGGGGAAGGGGGGCTTAATTTTCAGGCACTTAACCTAACTGGCCTGTGTTATATGGTTGGGATACTTATGTAACAAAGCAAACTTTAGCTTTTTAATTATCTATTAAGGTGATGGTTTAAACATAGTTGTATTAATGCTTGATCTCATGAAATCGATGTTTCTCAAATCTTTAAACTTAAAGAGATAAAATATCTCTTAATTTATTATATCGTCCGATGAATTTAACATTTTGAGAAATGATTAGAAAAATGTTTATAATCGATAATAAAGATAAATTAGGAACTAAGTGATAAAATATCTTTTAATTTCTAAACTGAACAACTAAAAGTGGATGTATGAATAAACAAAGTCGTATGCAGGAAGGGATCACTGGGTTAACGTGAACCTATGCTTCCTTCTGAAATCATATAATAGTGCCATATTTTTTTGTTAAATATAAATGTGTGAATCTACACTTAAAGTATCATATAATGTGACAATTGATTGGGTGCACCTCTCAGTAAGGTTAGAAATTTGACTTTTATATCTATCTTGTTTTGTTTTTCTTTCTAAAATTTGGTAACATCTCTATAAGTTATTATTGATAGCATCTTTGGCGTTTTAATTTATTAGACATTTCAATTTTGGAACTATAATTTAAAATTTTAACCGTTTTTATAATAGTGAATCCATCATCCCAAAATCCTGGATACGCTGTGAATAAATAAATATGTAAATTTCCTGTCTCGTTGGAATTTGATGTTACTCTCTTAAATCTATTTACTTTTATTTGCGACTATTCCAAAAATAGATTATTACTTTTACTTGTTGCATTTAATATATTAATTATTTATTCTTCGAATTATTTTTTAAGGCCTAATTAGTAAATTAATATTATAATGTAAATTACTCATATTAATTATTATTTTTTAATTTTTAAATGACATACAAAATTTGAATTGTACAAAGTAAAAATGAAAGGTGGAATATTAGAAGTAGTAGTATTTTATTTTTATTTTTTTTGTCAAAAATATTTGGTCAAAGGAAGGTGAAAGGAGTCATTTTTTTGGGAAAGTTTTCCAGAGTTGCAAAAACATAAGCGACGACTATAGATTGGTGATGCTACTCAACTGGCAAATTTGCTGAGCTAAACAAACATAAACACTTTCTCTCCTACTCAAATTCTTGCTCCCCAATTCCCCTTGAAATTTTCAGAGAATAGTACTTCATCTTCCACTTGATTCCTTGTGCAATTCGTTATGCTTTAATCTTCTCAGAATTGAAAAGTGTTTGTGGATTTCTACTTCATTTTATTGATTCGAATTCCATTCTCGTTTTTTTTTCCCCTCTAATTTGAATTCTAGAATTGAGAAGGGCTCAATTTTGTATTGGGTTAGGTTACCCAGTTTTTGGATTTTGAGAATGCTGAAATCAAATAAATTATTTTAGCGGTATTTGTTTCATTAGGGTTCTTTTGATTTGATTGTGTGTGTGTGCTATAGGTAAATCTGAAGTGGTGAGAAAGAGGATTTGTGAATTGTAGAGGTTATATTTGGTGGTTCTGTTTTGTTCTAGGGTTTTAGTTTGCATTCGGAGGAGTTGTGTTTTGTTGTTGAGTGTCCAATGGCTTCGTATAGGCCATTTCCTCCACCGTCGCAGTCGAGTTTTGTTCCTCCGCCACCGCCTCCGCAGAATCAGAACCCTCCGCCACCACCGTCTCAATCCAGGGGAAGTCAGTACTCGCAGAATTGGGGGGGTTACGGAGTGAATGATGGATCTTCGTATACCCAGCAGAATTACTCTCAGGTGCACCAGAGTTCAAATTATCAGCATCCTGGTTACGTTCCTCCACCTCCTGCGACCAGAAATCAGTATCCACCTCCGCCTCCTCCTCCTGCGGATTCTTCATATCCACCTCCGCCACCACCTTCTGGGCAGCCTCCTCCTCCTCCTGCTCCAATGTATTATCCATCTTCTCAGTACTCCCAGTATAGCCAAAACCAGCCCTTGGAGCCCCCACCTCCACCCCCTCCACCTTCGTCTCCTCCAAGTTCTGCTATTCCTCCTCCTCCCCCACCTTCTCAGCCACCGTCCCCTCCGCCACCTCCTTCATCAGTTCCCTCTCAGAACCAACGTAATGAAAGCAGGCCTAGTGTAGAGAAAAGGCGAGAATCTGGCTGGCGTGAATCAGGGCATGGTAACCACACTACTCGTTCTAAACAGCCAGGCCATTCTGTTCCTCCATTGCCAGTGAAAAAATCCAATGCTCCTTCAGGAAGGGTTGAGACTGAGGAAGAGAGGAGGTTAAGGAAGAAGAGAGAGATAGAAAAGCAAAGGCATGAAGAGAAGAATAGACAGCATTTAAAGGAATCACAGAATAAGGTTCTGCAGAAAACCCAAATGTTAACTTCTGGTACGAAGGGTCATGGGTCAATTAGCGCATCACATATGGCTGACAGAAGAACCGCCCCTTTGCTAAGTGGCGAGAGGACAGAAAACCGGTTGAAGAAGCCGACAACATTTCTTTGCAAGTTAAAGTAAGACATTAATTCTGGATTTACTACCAGCCAAGTAATTGTTTGATCCTTAAATGTCCCAATTGTTCTATTTCTATGTTGGATTAGTTACCTGATATTATCTGGTATCCGCTCTGCTGGAGATTAGAGTTTTCAAGCATACTGGTTGGTTGAAAGTAATGTTTAGTTTGGGATACTTCGGGAGTGTTACATACCACTATATGCTTTGACTTTCCTTGTAATGAGACGATAAGCATCCCTTTAAGCATGCAACTATAATCTTGCCATTCACCCCCATAGCACATGAAATCTTGTCGCGATGCTTTGAGATCCTTTTTAGTTTGTGCTTATTCTAGTTCTGTTCAAATTTGTTCTTGTCGGTGTGGTTTTAGTTTGGGTCATGGTAAGGGTGAACTTTACATGTGATGTTTATTCCATAGGGTAGGTTGGTGATAAACTTAATGGACATCATTTATTCAAATGGTAAGTGTATTTAGTTATTTACTGAATGACTTTTCTTCTATTATGTCATGTCTTTGAAAATGTTCCTTTCTGTGTTAGGATTATTTGTGAAAAGACTATGGTATGCTATCATTTGGGACAAACAAGTCGTTTTACATATTAATATTGCTGAACATTCTGTATTTTTTGTGTGTACTCTGCAGATTCAGAAATGAATTACCAGATCCGACAGCGCAACCAAAGCTTTTGACTTTAAGAAGAGACCCAGATCGGTTTGTGATTCTGCTTTTCATTGTGCTGGTCCTCTCACTTGTATTTATGATGATCAATTCAACTACAAATGTATCTTCTGACAAAACTAGAATAAACTAAGCAAATCATGCTCTTTATATGTAGACAAAATGGCTTGTCAAAAAATATGTAGACAAAATATTCCATCTAGAATGTGCACCTTTTGTAAAGGTTGTCAGGGTTAAATGAGACTTCTTTCCCAAGCACAACTCGCAAGCCTTTTGTGTTTTTCCCCATGAACATTTTTATTGTGGATTGCTGGTTTCCTACATATGCCTAATTTGGAATTGCGCTTTAACCATCACCTCTGGTTAGTCTGATCCAGAAGTAGTTAGGCTGTCGCTGTTGGTGTGAGAATGGGACATGGACACAGCTATATCCTCTCTCTTTTAAACCATTTTTATCAAGCAGTGTAATTTGTTGATTTTTAGTTGTTGAAAAGCTTCTCTACCCTCCACAAGGTAGTGGTAAAGCTTGCATACACTTTACCCTCCCTAGACCCCACTTGTGGGATTTCACTGCATATGTTGTTGTTGTTGTTGCACAACATTGCCGTGCCCACTATAAATCACACTAGGCATGAATTTACCTAGAATTTGGCCTTTAATATTTGAATAATAATATTGTTATCTACCTATTAACCAATCAACTATTGCTTTTATGGTTATTGCTACATTTCTCATGTTAGATGTTAGTCGTTGCAGTTATTTGATTTACATTGTTGAGCATTTAAAGTTTGAGTGCAAGGACTAACACTTATGGGGAACAAATGACCTTTTGTTTTAGTAGTTACTAACTTCATCTGCACTAGAGTAGGCAAGTGTTAAGCTCATCCTGTGGTTCTCTTCCCTTTCCATGTCCTTTCTTTTGGGAAGCAACTCTTGTTCAAGGCAAGTGCAGGTCATAGTTAATAGATTGAGAAAGCTTATCTAAGGTTGCTTAAACATTGTGTATTCGTAAATCATGATTTCATTTCTGAGTCTTTCTTGCATTTGAATCTCCACTTATCCTTGGAGTAAGAGTCTGCATTGGTTCTCCGTAAGCATTTTGATGCAGCATATGGAAGTTCTTTTGGAAGGATTTTGGCTTTATGTTAGCAATATATATATATATATATATATGTACTGAATTATTGTACTGGAGAGACTGCTGGCAGAGAGTAGCTTGAAAGTGATGGTACTTGACATCTTTTCCACCTTTCTTCAGCACAAAACACTTCGTGTAGCTTTTGATACATTAAACTCCAGGTTGTCGTCAGAGCATTACTGTTGTCATATTTTCTAAGAGCAATTCATTAAAATTTGCAGATTTACAAAATACTCAATTACTTCGTTGGAGAAAATGCACAAGCCTCAACTATATGTCGAACCAGACCTTGGAATTCCACTTGACCTTCTTGATCTCAGTGTATACAAGTATGTTATGCGCTGTCTCTCCTTTCCTTCAAGTAGCACATTTTAGTGGAAAAATTATCTAATGTTTTTACCTTGTTGCTGGCTTGCTTAGTCCTCCCAAGGGCGTAAAGATACCACTTGCTCCAGAAGATGAAGAGTTATTGCGCGATGACAATCCTATAACCCCCATCAAGAAAGATGGCATAAAAAAGAAGGAAAGGCCAACTGACAAAGGTGTTTCTTGGCTGGTCAAAACACAATACATCTCTCCTCTTAGCACGGAGTCAGCAAAACAGGTTCTTGCTAATGATAGTGTGTAAAGAATGTTTTTGAAGGAGTAGCAAATCGTTATTTAACTAATTGTTTATGCCATGCAGTCTCTTACTGAAAAGCAAGCTAAAGAATTGCGAGAAACAAAAGGTGGACGCAACATCTTGGAGAATCTTAACAAGAGGTTACTTCTGCTTTCAGTGTCCATGCTATTCATGTCTAAGATACTGAGACATAGTTGAGACCTGAATCTTGTATTTCTCGAACCCTGTTTTCAGAGATAGACAAATCCAGGAGATTGAGGCTTCTTTTGAGGCATGCAAGTCACGGCCCATTCATGCAACCAATCGCAGATTGCAACCTGTCAAAGTCCAGCCACTTTACCCCGACTTTGATCGGTAAGTCTTCCTCTCATTTGGCCTTCCCCCTTTTATGTTAAATATCTACATGTTGAAGAGGAGGGATGTAAGAAGATAACATTTCGTATAATTATTGCATTTTCCCTCTATATTTTCTCGTCATCCAAAAGTATTTTGTATTGTCTTCTAATATGCATGCTCAAAGGGCTCAGACATTTCCTAGTTTCATCTTTTATTGTTGATTTATCATTTTGTGATAATTGCAGCTTTGAGTCTTTTTTTTTTTTCTCCTTTTGATTGTCTGGATGAGGAAAAGTTTATCTCAATTATTAATGCCAAAAAATTTCCTTTTGTTTGGTTGTATTTTTTGAATTGAAAGAGGATTTCATGTTAAGTGGAGTAATAAGCTATATTTTTTAGGGACAATGTTCACTTTTATTGCCAAATTTGTGCCCCCCCCCCCCCTCCACACACATGGGTGGTGCCTTGCACTATGGCCATATGGCATACACTTTGTTACTGTTGGTTCTGTCTTAAAGAGAGAGACCCTAAATATTAAATATTGTTAAAAAATCATATATCTATTGTTAGTTAACAATTAATGTTAAGAATGAACATTTTGTTTTCCTTTTTTTTTTGTATATTCTCAAAAAATAAAAGGATTAGGTAGTTAGAAATTTAGTACTCCCCCTATTCCTTTTATGTGGTACTCTTTTCTTTTTTTGTTTTGTCGAATATAATGGCACCTTTCTATATTTAGAAACAATATAGCTTAAACTTCCATTTCACCCCTTTTTTTTTTTGACAATGGTAACTTGAGTATTAAAGAAAAAGGCATTAGGGTAGTGCCAAAACCATAAATACAGAGAGAAAGGACAGCAGATCCAACTATGAAATCCTAACAATTACAGGGCACCTATCAGATCTACTAAGGATACTGCTTCCTCTACAAACGTTCTTTACACCAAAGATGAAAAAGAAGAAAGCACATCTTAAAATTCTGTTAAGAACTAGTTCTTTCTTCAAAAATTCTTATTTTCTTTCTTTTCGAACTGTCCACCATGTACAAGCAGGAACCAATCTCCACCCCCATTGCAATTACAACTTTTTAGCAGATCACTGGTATTGGAAGGCATGCACCATTGGAGGCCCACAATGATAAGAAAAAATTGCCACAGAAGACTAGTAACAGAATAATGAAGAAACAGATGGCTATTGGTTATCAAAAAAAAACAGATGGCTATTGGATTCTGTTTCTAAACCACAAAAAGGACATCTAGAAAACTTCCATTTCACCCTTAATGACATTTTTATAGATAAAAATGTCATGTCATGTTTTAACTCACATGTTTCAAAAGTTTTTTTGTCTTTCTTATAATCCATGTTCATTCAAACTCCTCCACATAAAAGACAGAGGGAACATGTAAAATCTTGTCACTTAATAATGAGAAACTCGAAATCAAAAGGCATTCAAATCCTTTATCCATTTATTTTGGGTTGTTGACATGTGTGATTTGGCACTTGCTATTTGTGGCACTTTTGTATCCTTCATTGTCTCTCGTTCTACTTTACTTTTTCTAAAATATATGGCAGATACACTATTGATTCTGGTATACTTTTTAAATTTTCTTGGAGTACCCAAGACAATCCCATTTGTATGGATGATTGGATGGGATTGTACAGGAGATAACCAGATTGCTATCTTTTCTTATGCATCTCATATACTGGAATCATTTGCTCTCTTTCTACTCAATGAAATAATGTTTGCTTGTCAAAAGAGAACAGAAGAAGTTGGATGTACTTTTCCATATGCAAAAGATTCTAGAAATAAATTAATAATTGCTTGCAACACTTTTTCCTTTTCTTTATATAAAACTCATGGAGTTATTAGATCATGGCAATCTCTTGGTACTGGAGATAACATGAGCAAATAATGTTACTTTGCCAGGTACAAGGACCCGTTTGTGCTTGCGAATTACGATAGTGCTCCAACTGCTGATTCAGAAACCTACAACAAGTTGGATAAAACTGTCCGTGATGCATGTGAATCACAGGTGAAATTATTGATTAGATGCCTTTCTCCAAATTTGTAATGTCTCCAGGTTAATAAGCTATAAGGGAAACATTCCTTCAGTCAGTAGATGTCAAGGAGCAATTGCTAAGTTAAAGAAAGATTGGCAAAGTCAGATTTTGCATATGAAAACTAAAACCCCATATTCATCTTCTCCAAACTTACATCTAGAATCATTTTGCAATCAGCTCCTTGTCCAACATCATTGACCAAAGCGAGAGTGTTCAATCCAAATTTTGATTGGGTTGAGGGCCTTTGCCAGAGTGTTGATATACAAATTCTTCTAGTCCCCGGACATAATTATTTATCTGTCACTGCCTCACTGGCATGGATCATCTTCTATTTACCCTCGGACCTCCATGATACTATGATGTTTGGATTATATCTTAATGAACATGAATTTAGCAAATGCAATACACCTTGCAGGCCGTTATGAAAAGCTTTGTGGCTACAAGCTCAGATGCAGATAAACCTGACAAATTTCTGGCATATATGGTCCCTGCCCCGAATGAGGTGAAATTTCATATTGTTTAAATTGAAAGGTTGGTTCACGGGTAAAAATCTTATTTAATGATATTCTGTTGCTTTTCGTGGATTGTGACAGCTGTCGAAGGATATGTATGATGAAAATGAGGATATCTCATACTCTTGGGTTCGGGAGTATCACTGGGATGTATGTACCTTTTCTGAGTGCTAAAGTCAATCTAGCTACAATTTTGTACATCGATAAATTACTTAGTTGTGTTAATATTTCCCTCATGTGCCCATTGGCAGGTACGAGGTGATGATGCAGATGATCCTAATACGTATGTTGTGGCGTTTGGGGAAACAGAGGCCCGTTACATGGTAAAACTGTGTTCTACTTGTAAAACTTTATATGTGGTTTAACCCTGTAACTTGAAACTCACTGTGGATGTGATGTGATCCAGCCTCTTCCAACAAAGCTTGTTCTGAGAAAAAAGAGAGCTAGAGAGGGAAAGTCAAATGAAGAAGTCGAGCATTTCCCAGTTCCCTCGAAAGTCACAGTAAGGAAGAGACCAACTGCAGCTGCCATTGAACTGAAAGAAGAAGGGGTAATGAAGCCTAGCCAGACTCTTGCTTCATTCTTTTTTCCTGCATGGCCTTTTCTATTTGCAACTAAACTGATTATGTCATTGTTGGATCCACAGGGCTATACAACAGCTTTGAAGGGGAATGTTTCAAGTTCAAAGAGAACAAGAATCAGTCATGAAGATGATGTTGGTGAACAACATAACAATATGCATGATGATGATCAAGATCAATCTAGTGGTGGCGAGTACTATATGTCTGATTGATTCCTTCACATTCATTTAAGCTGATCAGATAATTTAACAAAGAGAAAAAAAAAAAAAAAAAGGTAGGTACATGAGAGAAGTTGCATAAATAAGCAATGCTTTGTACCATATAGGAATTTTGCTCTTTGAAAAGATTTAACTTTAAAGTAATTTGCATATGCTGCAATGATTGTCTGGGTTGACCATCATTCTTGTGTGGTCTCACTTACCCCGTACACAGATCTCGCATTAGGTTTGGCAATATGTGCTGTAATTGTCGGTATCAGATTTCACGAAATTGCTCATTCTGCACTTATGCGTGTTGTGGCAGTGTTTTGAAATGGTCTAGGGGATGGATACTGGCTTAACATAAAGTCTGTTTGTGCTTTAGATTAATAGCATGTCTGGCCAAGCTTCTCAAAGATTCTTCTAAAAGTTGTGGTAGTCCAAATATGCTGATTTTCAAAATTTGGCCAAATAAGCTATAAGCCTTGTTCTTCTTGCAAAATTTAATATCACAGGGAAGTACACATTGCACTTCCTCAAATAGTCCTCATTTGTGATGTGACAAGTATTTAGGCATAGAAAAACATTTATGAGGAGCTCTGTTTTCATTTACCCAAAAGAATATAGCGGTAACGGCAAATAGTATTTTCTTCTTTTCATGGACATTTTTAAAAATTGCTAGTATTTCTGAGGTGCCTGCAAGGTTTGTAGTAGAAGCAAAATTGTAGGTTTGATAAGTGCGGGTTTGAATGATCTGTAAATCATGCAGAACTCACGTACTAAAATGTCACAAGGATTTAAACTTGTATAATCGAATCGTGTCTGAACGAATACGATATATCCAGAGAGAATGGTTGAAGGAAATTGAATAAATACGATACGATGAATGGTAGTAGAACCATTTTTTGAAGCATTTAGTTCTACCCACAACTGTTCAATAGGGTTCCCCAGTTGTGGAATGGCATTCATGTTAGCAACAAGTTACAAGCTTTACAAATGTCTTGTACAATTTTCATTTACAGTTTGCTCCCCTGCATCCAACTGAGGGGAGGTGGGATGTCATTGTAGCATCACCAGTTAATTGCTCTCACAGGGTGGGGAATAAAACGGCTGCCCTTTCCGATGTTGGATCACTGACCGGGGATTATCCCTTTGTCAAACAAGTCTAATGTGATTGATTGGCTGAGTGGATGTTCCATTAGCAAGAACATTGATAGAAGAGCAGCTGCCAAAGACCCTGGGCCTTCCCCCCCTTCTCTGGAGACCACTTCCTCATATTGAAATTGAAAGACCATGTCTGACACCCCCTAGCCAAATTAAAAATAATAAACAAACAGAAAACAAGGACTGATTGCAGACCTATAAGTAAGCTACTATACAAGCAAAAGCAAGAGGGGTATACCATGCAAGGATGCAACATATGAATGCAGTAGCAAGCCTGCTTATCCACCAATCCTGTCAACATAAAAGCAATCAAGCATGGTCAGCAAAACTCTGTGTGAAACCCGCAGCCAATAATTGGGTTGTTGAGGTGAAGAGGTGAGTGCGCACATCAGATCATTGATTGGAGGATGTGTACATTGCAAAGCTAGAAAGTGTATAGAAGAAGCAGATCAAAAGTCATAACCATCCGAAGTAACGAATTTTCCGACATGCCATAATTATGCAATAATATGTGCCCAATAGGCCAATACTCTACATTGGTAAGTTGAGGTAAATATTGATGACACACATGATAAAGATATTACCCAACCAGGTTTGCAAGTAGGTGCGATGCGTGCTTTTAGAAGTGAATACTCCTTGATGCAATTGAAGCCCTAAGAATTAACATAAAAAAACCCAAAAATATTAAGGTTTCAACTTCTTAATGTGTACATAATTAATGTAAAGAAATGATAGATTTATAATCTCTTACCAAGCTAGCCGACATTTGACTGCCTCTAGACGAACAACCCTCTTTGGATCATCAAGAGCTTTGGTTATAGCTTGCAACACCTAAATATGAAAAGACACATTGTGAAAATACAGGCTTCATGAAAAAGATGAGAGGAATCTTTCGTACTCCTGATAAATAAGCGGTGGCATCCTTCTAGAAGATACACATGCCACTTCGATTTTTTTTTTGAAGATGATCAACAAATCCATACTTGCTCATTCTAGGTCCATTTGTTATTACAACCTTACCACAGAGGAATTCATGAAAATCATGTATGTGCATATTATACATTTATACGGACATGAAAGAACTCAGGTCTCAGGAATGCGAACTAGGACCACTGCTATCTTTCAACATGTTCACGAAGGGACAAGCAGATGCAGAACACAGCAGCAACTCGTTGAAGGCAAGGATGCTAACTAAAACATACAAGTAACTTAAGCCATGTAAGCTTGAGTAGGGATGGCAATGAGGCAGGGGATGGGGTGGGACGGTAAATCTTCACTCAAGTCGGTCCATTAAAATCATGTGGTCGAGCTTCTTACATATGTAGAAAATTCGAGGAATGGTAGCACAAGCTATTGCATTCATTGTTAGGCCTTCAATTATTGTTTCAGGATCAATCTGATAAAATGACATACAATCAAATCATGATTGCATTTCACACTATAAAACACTAACCTGCGTTCTCATGGGATATATCCTCGCATGCGGCAGCTCCGACATGGCACCAAGGCACTGGATTGCAGTCTCTCGAATCACCTGCTAATTTTAAGAAATGTCAAAATTAAGAAACGCGACTGAAGATGATTTCATGAAAGACCACACTAAATTTTACTAAGCAAATGGTGATTAATTGCAAGGAGCTCTTCCCAGTTCCCACCACCTATCCCGGCTTGTCCCTATAGACATAAAGCAAAGACCAAGCAAAATGGAATTTAGGGATGGAAAGGGTACAAGACTCACCAGATCATACAAGTATTTGTCAAAAAAGGAGGAAAGCAAGAACCAATCAAGAGAGTACACTTATGATCATTCCCACAAGCTTTATGTCGTTACAAGCACTAGCCGTAGTTGGGGTGAAAGACTTTTATGGAGATTCGGTATAAAGAAGCAGGCCCCATGGAAAAAGGTAATTACGGAAAATATAGGATTCCAGAAGAAAGCTGCAGGTCAGAAAATATCACTCCGTTTTTTTATGGAAGTATGGGAAAAATTTGGTGGCAAGTACGGCAGTTTTTTCTTGACACTAGTAGTATGGATTGAGATACACATTTCTGCACATCTACAGAATTTCTTTTCAGATGTAGATGACAACGACGCTGCCTCAATCGCAAACAAGTTGGCATCGGCTATATGAATCCTAATTGACCGTGTTTCTTCATTTAGATTCAGCCAACATTAAACCATCCAAAATAAGTACTAAAATTCTCTAGACCTTCTATTGGCATAAGAATCTATGATAGGGCTAAAACTCCTAGAAAGCATAGGACCTACAGTAAACGTACTAACAACAACATACCCAGTGCAATCACACAAAGTGGCTGAAGAGGGCAGAATGTACACAAACCTTATCCCTACTTCAGAGGTAGAGAGGTTGTTTTTTGATAGAAACTCAGCTCAAGAAAAATAGTTCAGAAAAAAGAAATAATGAAAGTACAACAGAAACAACAGATAGTAACGCAATACTACAAATAAACAATACGATAGTCGAAGTACGGGAAACAACAAATAGTAACAGAAATCGATGGTTATTGGTTACGAAAAGGCCAAGTTACCATTTGTACAGAAAGGTAGCGGAATTCCAGAATACAGTTGAGTACTTCATAAACAATGTTCTTCACATGACAACCAAGATCCTTGGAGGTGCAAAATGGGTAGTAGTGGGCTATTTTCAATGAAATCTTACTGTAACAAGCTCTTAATTAGTGACGAATTGGCTTTTAACATTCATCTGTTTTATTCTCACGTCACTAAGAATGGAGGTTTCTTCACTTGGTTGACAATGAAGGAGCTTTTGAGAGCTGAAAACTTGAGATAAAGAGAATTACATATGCCACTTGGTATTTCGTGTGTAAGAATTTGGACAAAGATGTGGACCATTGATATCCTATACATTGTCAGGTAGACAGCGTGACATTTCTTAGATGGTTCAGACAGGCAATGTTATGTAATGTGATCGGCAAACATTCTTCCACTGAACCTTTAGATTACGGAGAACAAGTCAAAGGGCGATAGAGGTTTGCTCTTTTAGCGATCACGTGTGTTGTGTGCAAAGAAAAGAAACGATAAAATCTTTTGCAGGGACAAAAAATAGTTTTAGACATGTGGGCAATAACCTCTTTTTCCTAGTTTCTGTTTGGTGCACACATGAGGTCTCAATTTGAATAAAAGAGAGTATTTTTCTTATAGAATCAAATTACTTTGTACGCTCTCTACTTATTAGTGTAACACTTGTATATGAGAGCTATTTTTCCTCCCATATCCAGTATAATTATTTAACTAAACAAAAAAAGTCACGTCCCATGAGTCGATGTCTAGTTTCTCATCACATGGATTTTATGCAACTTTCTTTTCCTGTTCTTTCTTTTATTGAGAGGTGGGGAAGGGAAGGGGCATCCAAGAATGCTAACTGAAAAGAAACTTTTACCATCACATAAGGATAGGAAGTGAGCTCAATAAGTCTGCGGATAACCATGGGAGCATTTTCTATGATAGCTTCTTGTCCTGCAACAACAAAAGAATGGATGACAGAACCATCAAATGCCAAATTTAACATTAAAGCATGAAAACCATAACCTGATTAACCCTTTTGGTATAAAGTAACAATCTTATTAATATGCTTAAAACCACACGTATAGAAGTAGTACACCAAACAGTAGAAAACATACATTAAGATATGGTTTTTGACAAAAGACATCCAATCTTCTATATATAATGAACCTAACAAGTGCACCAAAAAAAAAAAGAGATACAAGACTATTCCTCAATTGTACAGGTTCAACTATACACTTTCAAAAACTCTCCAATTTCGTTACTTAAGATAGTCTAAGAGGGTTATTATCAAGCATATAAAAGCTCCCTATTACATCTAAGGGAGTGGTCTAGTGGTCAATGAAGTGGGTTGAGAAACATGAGGTCACATGTCCAAATCTCAGTACGGACAAAATACTAGATGATTTCTTCCCATTTGTCCTAGCCTTGGTGCTCATGGAGTCGAGGTGCGGGTAAGCTAGCCTGGACACCAGGGTTATAAAAAAAAAAAAGCTCCCTATTTCTTTTTCTCCAAATGACCAACATAAATGGCAGAGGAGCAACATCCCCAGCCCTACTTCTCCAAATAACCTGATTAACCTTAAGTTGGATAAAGTTACATGTTTTTTTACAAGATTTTTTCTCTTTTTTTTTTGAAAAAGTTAACTGGTATTATAAACATAGAAGTACACCAATAGTGAACTCCTGTAGTAATTACATCAAAAGTATAGAGGGTTTACCAAAAAGAAACTAAGCACCTATCTCCCTCATAAACTATCTAAGAATAGGGTGATGTCCCCCGGATCCTTGGGAATAGAATGGATACACCAAAAGTAAAAGGTCACTAAACAATTCATTTTAATGCTTTGGAAAGGGATGCTCTTGTTCTCAAAACATCTCTGATTTCTCTCACTCCATATTGTCCACCAGATGCAGGCAGGGACAATCTTCCATCTCTCCTTTTACAAGATTTAATAAAGATATTTTTTCTCGCACTTCGGGAAGCTTTAGACTACAGGTCCTCCAGACTCTGTAATGAAACTAATATGACTTTCCCTGGTAAGTTACTACTTATAAGAGCAAATAGCACACAACTTTTCATCAACATGCTCACCATCCAGGGGCATTATTGAAATTTAATATAAAGCTTGCTTAATACTGTTGTATTCTATGTTGTGGTTGCTTAATGGTTGGAATGAATTCCGGGAAAGGTAACTGCTTTTATTGAATGTCCTGTCGCGTCCTCTTAATTGCTGGGCCAAATGTCTTCCTCTTACCAGTGACACCATACAAGTTTTGACATGAAAGGGCCTGAATTCTGAACTCCCTTTCTTATATACTACACATACATTAGGGTAAGATCTACAGGAATAGAGGACCCACAGGTTCACCCTTTTCTTTTTTTTTTTAAACTGGTAATGTTGTATTCCTCAGCATTAAGGTATGCTGGAGACCTCCAAAAAGGTAGTAACAAGCTAGAACAAGAGACTAATTACAGTAATCCTAAAAGATCTACTAATTGTTCAGCATTTTCTATACAATGTTCTTTACACCAAAAGTAGAAAGTTGCTATGCAGCTCTCTTTGATTTTCTGAATGTTGTTGAATCTATCTTCAGTTTCTTCCATTCCTCTCCCTCCAGATAGTCCACCAGATATAGTGTGAGATTATTCTCCACCACTTCTTCTGTGTCTTGCTTCCCCCTCTCCTAATCCAGCAACTTAACAAGTCTGTTGTGTGCTCTGGCATTGACCATTTTGTTTTGTTAAACTGAGGAACATAGTCCAAAGCTGAGATGTGACTTTACAATGGAGGAACAGATGATTATTTGTCTCTCTAGCGTCACTACATAACATGCATCTGGACACAATTGGCAATCCCTTTTTCTGCAGGATCTCATGAGTGAGGCAAGCTTTCCTGATTATTAACCAAGCAAAGCACTTGACCTTAGTAGGAGCCATACTTTTCCATACATGCTTCCAAGGACCTATTTTCACCCTCTTTTATATCTAACCTCATGCTTGCATAACTGCACATACATAGTCACACATTGATAAAAGATAATAGTCACTCAAGCGAGATGAGTGATCATCCTTATTTTGATTTTCAGTTCACAATTTGCTTAGGTAAAAATTTTAGTCCAATAAATTCTATTTCATCTTTTAAGATAAAAGATTAAATACATTTACTACCTCAAATTTATATGTTGTGTGGATTTCCATAACAATTTATTTGCATAAAAATGTGATAGTGCGTAAAAGACTATGTTTAGTATTCTTAGATGAATTGATTATTTTGAGCGTAAATCTTACAATTCATAATTTCAAATTTCCAAACTATAATTAATGCTATATAAAATACAACTAATGTAGCATATCAAATGAAGATGAGACATTCAAAGTAACACAAAAAGACAACACAAACTTCAAAATAAAAGCAAATATATATATTCGTCTTCACTTAATATAAGAAAAATATATTGAAATTTGTATTTTAAATTGAGAAGGGAAGTCTAATACTTCTATTCATTCCTGCAGTGAATTGATTCTTATTCTTTAGAAATGTCTTTTTACTAAAAAATATTGTATACATCAAAGAACTACAACATAGTTATACACCTTGCATAATAAATGCTTATAAGAATCGTTCTCTTTTGTACAAATAACAACCTATAAATGTTTGCTAACACACTGAAATAAGAAAAGCACAAACTATACTAAGGTTTGCTTAAGTCTAGCCATACGAAGTTTACCATGAAGATGTCCCATCAGAGACATTCATGGAAATACAGCAAAGATTGGCATCGCCTTAGTGAAAGGTGACACGAATAAATGATCCGTGAATTCTAATTGTCAGGCTTCCAGACCAAATATATTATGACCACTTCAATGCCAAGAGGTACTAATCTTCATATTTGTTTCTTTTACTTATCTTTATGTTACTGCTACAATAGCTAAATTCCTATAAGTGAAATTGTTTGGTGTAGCAGATAGATGTGTGGTTAATAGCTTCTGTTTGAAAATCGTCCGGCTGGTTTTGTTCTTAATGTGAGATAATGAGAAGTTAGTAGTTATAGGTTAATTTTCAATTACTTAAAACCAAACATAAATTTAAGATTATGCACCATATTTCTTAATTTTAACATGAATAAAATAACATCTGATAATAAATAAAAATGTACAATGATTATTAATCACCTTATTATCATTTGTATAATAATTCGTGTTTATAACTTGTTTCGGGAACCAAATCATCTTAACATACTCAAAGAGTAAAGCAGTAGGCTGGCTTGTCGTGATCATACGTACTTCCAATTTACTAGTGCTACAAAAACATTTAAAGAAAACGAGAGCAATTTGAGAGTCTAAATTATTGGGACCCTCCCTCTGGCATTCAGATATGCCACTTAGCACTTACATCTAGCATCACAGATAAAAATCTTCAGCAAGTACAAAGTTGGCAGCCTGTGAAGCTCTTCTAGATTATTCAAGTAACTACCAAAAGCTAATTGCTGACGTCTTCGCAATGCAACCTTGAAGATGAACACATAAAAATATGCAAGATACAGTAAATATGCAAATCTGTAGCTGTCAATAAGCACATTGTTTGCACATGCTACAGCAATGAACTTTTCAGAACTAAAAGAAATTCTCAGAGAAATGAGTAAACACTCTTTACCATTTTTATCCGTTAATATTCCAGAGAGAACTATTAAGACACTGTAAATTATCTCCTTATGAGAGATATCCTTGCTCAATATAAGAAAGCAATCCATAAGTACAGGAAGGACCTGTATACAAGAAAAAATATCATAAGCAATCAACCTCAGGCCAGACCATCAACAATATGAGAAATAACTAGTTGTGTCATTGCGTTGCTCACTCACCTTTTTGGCATCACCAACAACAGCAACAAGAGGAGTTTCAGATACCAGGTGTGCAAAAGCTTGATAGAGAAAACACCTGAAATCGCGGTACGATTTAACTTTAAAACGAGCATGTGAAACAAGCAAGGCTGCTTAATATTACATCAGATCTACAGCAGTCCAATTCAACTCATTACAGTGAGCTCTTTTAAGACATAAGTCCTCTTATTCAATCATTAATCAGGAAACGATGTAGCTACTGCAAATTCTAACAAAAAATTATCCTGTTTTATTCATGGAAGGAACTAAACTTTGGAAACATACGTTCCGGGAATTCATGTATGCACTGATATGGATATGTTCAACATTCAACAAGGCTTAGCATACTTTGAAAATCCAAACGAAACAACCCATATACGAGTAGAACAAGAGTATATAGGTAAACAAAATGGGACATGACGAGCAAGCTTGGTATTTTCATTCTGCTTCTTTTTTACTTTTCAGCTGAGCATTCTGCATTTGACAACCTGCTGCAGAACTTGGCTTTTAACTTAGTACACTACTTTGTAGAAGATAGTAGGTGGTCTTCGGTACAATTAAGGAGAATCGTATTAAGATTATCAAAAAAGAACTTGTTTAAACAAATCAATAGAAATTAATCAAGAAACTTTTTACCAAGACAACAAAAGATTCTTAACGTCTTAGGCTTTCTGAATGTTTCATCATCAAACCAAGAACCAGCAGATCATAGTTTCTACCATAACCAGATGGAAAATGAGAGTGTGAAGCTCCATATATTTACAAAAGAAAATTTCTCGACTATATTGATACGTACCTTGAAGTGGATGAATCACATTTTACTATTGCAGATAAGAACATAGGCATCATTATGTTGAAAAATCGTTGTTTATAGAGTGGGCGAATGATTGCATGGTAATTTCTGTTCAAACAAGCATCAGAATCACTCATAAGAATATGAAATGCATCAGCAGCTGATTTTCTGAGACAAAGCACTTTGTGCTCTGCGGGATCTTTCATTTGATCATTGAAAGGTAGCAAATTTCCCTGATCTTCATTTGAAACTAAGCAACTCAAGAAAGTCATAGTCACATCTTTTAGCTTCTCATGACCCCGCATAAGCAGACCTTTCCCTATCCATGCTAATCCAATAACAGCATGACTATTTAGACTATTTAGTCTCGGGTTACTCATAGCAACTGCACCACCATCATTGCCCTCTTTCCCAATACTAATGTTGCGCCACATTACATTCTTGAATAGCGTATCAATAAGTTCTTCGAGACTGCAGTCTTCTGATATATTCAGAGGAAGTTTGTTAACCAAAGAACCCAGGGCCTGAGCTGAGGGGATATGGCCTTCAAGGAGAGTCATCGCCAACAACTGTAATAAGAGTCTTATATTTGGTATCTGAGTTTGAGGACGCAATGCAATTACAACTGACGCGAAGAGTGAAGTAATCCATTCGTCTCGACATGACAAACCCTCAGAAGTCTGACCAAGTTGAGTTTTCTTGTTAAAGAGATCGGTTCCTAGAATCAGATCATTTGACAAGAAAAAAGAGCTTGTTTCCATCACATCAATAGCTTTCTGAAGAACCTTTTCCTGACTTTCCACTGAACAGCCTGTCATAGCTTGCTTCATTGCAGCCATTGTTGCACCCAGAAGTTCCTAAGGTAAATTATAGTATGTTTTAAAGCACATTTCTCATCGAGCTTATGGGGAAATCAGATGACAGCCAAATATTTCTTGACATAGAACAAAACACCTGAAGAGAACAGGACGAAAATATGTTATGCTTACCTTTCCCTTTGCTTCTAGACTCAAAGATGAGTTATTTTCCATTTTAGTGAAAATATTAATCGCAAAACTCAAAGAGACTTCATCTGCACCTCCATTGCCATGGAACCTGAGAGGCAACCAAAAAATACAGGTCAGACCTTTGCTCAAGAACATTGCAAAACCCAGAAATACTAAGTTCAACTGCTAGACAAAAATTCCGATTATTTGTCGACTTACTTACATGTAGGCTGACTCCACCTGCCAAATGGATCAAATAGCAGATACTTTTGTTAAGGTGTGAGACTTGCTCAAGCATTTCCGGGGTACAGGAAACTGTGACTACAGAAATAAAGGCAAGAAAAGAACAACTAAATACTGTGTACTTTTCACACTTCCCTTTGTTCTTCGTTCTTAACCCATTTTTTTTAAAAAAAATTGTTTCTGGGGGAATAAGTGGAAAAACAAGCTAGTGAACCAATGTGAAACTGGGTTGCATCAAATATCGCATATAAGAAAAATCAACAGAGAGCATTGGCCAGCCAGATGAGGTTGAGGATGCATCATAATTGAGAATGCAATAAGGAGAAATAGCTTGAACAAAAATGGAATAGAATGGAAAGCTAATAAAAGCGAGATTGTAGTGACTGAGGTCGTACCATGGAAGTACCTTATTGGAATAACATTCCAAAAGCCCAGGTGTCAATCCAGCTAACCGCCGATCTCCATGGACCTGCAACAAGAGGAACCTGTTCTGTTAATATAAGGTCAAGATGTTAGTAAAAGGAAACAGAGAGTTGAAAGGGGGATAGCTCAATAGTGAGTTTTCCATTTCTAATTTAGTCATTTGCAGCAGGAATTCACGGGAGCATACACCTACATGTACATGCCAGAAAGAGAGGAAAGTGTTTTATCACTAGTTTAGTCAGTTGCAGCAGGATTTCATGGAAACATACACCTAGATCTATACTAAACAAGCCAAAGTATTGAAGTAGGACGCACATGACTGGAAGCACACTAGCGAACTTGACCTAAGAATGACAAAAGGAAGCACATGACATTTCCTGTAACAGGAGGGTTTACAGTGCCCCAAAATTAAACAGACGATGCATGTGCTAAGTTAGTAACAGCCTCGAGGTTTCAATTAGTACACGTACAAGAATCTCAGATAAGTTGGCTGATATAGTCTTCTCCAATTCGCTTACAACACTATGCATGAAACTCATCCCGGTCAATCCGATATCAAAAATGGCCTCCAGTTTGAGCGATTGAGGCATGTTTAAGTCATCAGAAGAAATCAGAGAAACAATCTTTTGCTTGACAATACTGTTAAAGCTAGCTGCCTTCTCGTCCTCATGATACTTATTGACAAACAAGCTAATCTCCACTAATGCTTTCAGTGCTGCCTTCCATAGAAACTTCTTGTTGAAATCAGATTCAATAATTGACGTCAAAGTCAGCAAGATATTCTCATACATGAGCTTTGAGACAGAAATAAAGCTTCCAGGAAATGTTGCCAAGATCTCCAAACCTTTAACTACAAATTGAGCACAAATTCAGTCAAAAACAATTAACTTACACTTAGCTGAACACAATAAGCATAGAAGCAACTCACATTAACTATGAGCTTAACAGGTTCAATTGATCATAAGACAGTGTGGGCATGTCCCTAAAAGAGGACAGAAACCTAAAATAAGTTCTGCGCTCTCCTTACAAGGCGGAAGAACTAAAAGCATCAGATTGCATCACTACCTAATGATCTATTTTGATATTGCAACAATGAATAAAGAGAATTTTAACTTGTGTCCAGGTGACTATCGTCTCTTTCCCTACAACATTATCATTTTTTAACAGGTTAAATCCCTACATTACTTAGGGATTCATGTGCAACAACTAGAGAAACACATCTGATAAGGTCCACTTATTTATAAGTAAAATGATATGTTGGTGCTGACAGAATTAAATAGATGCACTAATGTTACAGATACAAGGAACATTGGGTTTCTATCAGGAGGAGTGCCCACTCTGTTTACATATTTCAATTAATGCCAACAATACAAAGTTTGTATGCATCTATATTTCTTTATAAACCAAGAAATCCCCAAGCGCTAGTGAAGCACAGTTCGGAACTCGACAGATTATGGGTCCGCCTCTCTGCCCTTCTCCACTCTAATACTAGGCATTTGTCTGCAACAGGTTTGAACCATGTGCCTAATCCACATATCACTCGGTTGCGTTCTTACCATCAGAAGAAAGCCCTCAACAAGTGTTTATCTATTTGAACTATCAATAGCTCGTAACCAGCCATCAATAGCCCTTCTCCACTCTATTTGCTCCATTTTAGAGGGAAGGGCAAACGGGAGAACCAAGAGTGGATTTATAGAAAAATTGACAAGACAAGGAACACCAGTTTACACATGACTTTAGAGTAAAGAAGAAAACAGCTCAGTTCCAGAACAAATTCATTTGTCAAAGAGAAGTACTTACCTGCTGCATAAACATAAGCATTCCAAGTGCTTTCAACACAACTTGCTCGAATGAGACAAAAGAAAACATTACATAATGATGTGCAGAAACTACGAAGTATCTGGCACCAAGAGTCACGCGCTAGATCATGAGCTGAAGCGACTTCATCAGAGCTGACTACCAGCTGTCTGCATGCAGCAAGGAGTTCAACACATAGATACAAGGCTCCAAAGTTAAAGTTCGCATCCAAAGCTGAATGAACAATTCCATGGGAATTTTCAACTGAGAGCCTTAAGGCATCCACCAACCGAGGAAAGAAACTTTCAAAAACTTTATTGCAGGAAGATCCAGAAGCTTTAATGCAAACAGAAAGAACATGCCCAACTGCATGTAACCTCTGTTTGTATTGGGTAGAAAGACTATTAAAATCGTCGAACTGGGAAAAGGAGTTCAGAAATGTGCTTATGTCCCCATCACCCAGAATCAAACTCAAGAATGAATCATTATGCTGCCGAACAAGCACCTGAAGAAGTTCAAGGGCCTGTGTCATAATTTCACTCTCATGAAAACCTAATCCATCTATTGGATCGGAATCCTCTGACAAAGTGGACTGCGGACAAGTAAACAGTGCATCTTTTAATGCAGACCAAAGGGATTTTGTGTACTTTTCCATTCTATCTCCTCCATATTTCAATGTGCAATAGCTAAGGTACTTCAAAGATTCCACCTGTCACACAAGAATCATGAAAATATTAAAAAATTAAGACATTATAAACCCAAAAACTAATAACATAGAACAAACTGCACTAGTTGGAACTAACCTTTGCTGACGGCAGAGAAGAAGATAGTTTGTCAAGAAGTAATGGAATGACTGAGGGTTCATAAAGTGGTGTTGAAGCAAATGCCAGCTAGAAAACAGCAAAAGGATGTTAGAATCTAATTAAAAACCAATAACCTGGTAAAGGAACTGGAAGGAAAAAGTTCCAATGGAGTATCTAATATTACTAATTGAATATAATCGCCATATGAAAAACGAAAAGACAACAATTAAAATGTGTACGCGAATAGCATGTTATTTTTATCATTTTCTAGACAAACACACTAGATCAAATTATGGCACTACATGATTAATTTCATAGTTTAAGATTTCCTATGTATGGGAATAGGCCCTTCAGTTTAACATTTGGAAAGCTTATACTACTCATTCAAATTCAAGAACCTCACACATACTAAGAATTGGTCCAAATTGCAGTCGTATTAGTAAGAAGCAACATAACTTAACATCAATGAAGTCTCTGGGCAAATAAAGAGCAAAGTAACAAAAGCAAGAGACAATAAGTCCACGATGCTAGAACAAGTTTTCCAAAAAAGAGTTCTAATGTAAAAGACAATCGGATCATCCATATATAAGAGTTTTGTCACACTACTAAAAAATTGGCGTACCATTAGGGCCCTTGAGAGTTCCCCCCTCTTCATATCAACATCATAACTCTTAGGCTGGATATTCAGAATAAGACAAATGAAATTGTGAAGTGCAGAAAAGGTTGGTGGGAGAGAGAACAATAACACCACAGTTATATTAAAAAATGCAGAGAGAGATGGGCATTATAATTCAATAATCTCACATGGGTGAAATGGATAGGAAAGTAACATTCCAAAATCTCGAACAAATCCCCTGCAAAATTCTCCAACGGGCCAGAAGCTTCGGGAAATAATTGTGCCAGCAGTTCAACTATATGAAATATGAGCATCAAGCACTGTGGATCCTTTTCACCATCAATAGCTTCACAGATTCCATAAACGAGATCATCACCCTATGTGGTCACAATCCAAAGATTAAAATTAAACATGCAAAGGACCCTAAAGCAAACAAATACATAGGTGGAAGGGAGTAATAGGCGTGTAAAACAGAAACTAGATATCATACTCAAAATGACAACAGAATGGGCTGTCAAGGGACAGCTATAAAAGTTTGGTAGCATATTAGCACCACGTATCTACAGGACTGCATGTTTCTCAGGTGAAGAAGATCTGCAATCCCTTCAAATTATACTGTTATAAGGACCCTTAGCTTAATCATGAATTCAAGAAATTGTTATTAAAAGGGTAACTGAAAATTCAAGCAGCTAGAGCTAGAAACAAAGATGTGTAAGACATTGAATGTCAAAAAAAAATAAAAATATGACGGATGGCCAACTTACCCGCAACCTTGACTATTTCACCGGGTAAGTAACTTTATTCACCAAGGCTTTGGCAAAGGGGGGAATGTTATAACTTTCTTTTGTGTGTTTTGGTGTAAAGAGAACACACCAACTTGTCTTGGTGCAGCTCCTTGGGAGGCTTAATTATTGTTACAAGTTACAACTAAAGAGGATATCATCTTGGAATAGTATATTAATGAACCCGTTTGCTTTAATAACAAAACAAAAAAAAAAAGGTACACCGAGAGCTAATGGTTCAAAATTATATTGTTTTGTTGCTTACCCAAAATCAGTAAGATAGTACCAAAACCATGCTGTAATTACCACAAAAATCAAATATAATTAACTGAAAAGGATTAAAAGCTATTACCAGTGAAAAAAGTGCATCCCGATAGCGATCTAATAGGCATTCCAATATTTGAAGGCAAAGCTGCAAAAATTAGATAGTAAATTCACCTAGCTGAAGATACTTCCAACAGGCGTAGAAAGAACAGTTCATTTATCTGTGACTCTGTGTACAATCACTAATTCACTATACCTTCCTGTCTTGCTGCCCCAAGGACTGCACCTGCAGGGTTTTCAGATAAGACTCTGCAACAGCCTTTGCTTGACTCCTATTGATCATACCAGTACCAGTTTTCCTCCTTAGTAGAGCCAAACAACCGACAAGGGCACCATGCAACGCTTTCCAATCTGCCTGTACAAGTACAATGTCATCTATTTAGATAACTCAGTTGATAACCAATATAAAAAAACAGATATACAAAAAGGTAAAGATACATGGTGTGCACAGCGGTTGAATTTTTTCTAAATTTCTGGAGTAGTACAACAATACGACATATTCCTATTAGAAGCTTAAGAGTACGCTTTGTAGTTGAGCTTTAAGATTTTTTAAAATCAAACCCATTTCATAAGATTAAGCCTTAAGATTTTAGTTCACAATAAGAGAAACTTTTTCATCATAAGTTCCTATTCTGAGAACAGTAGTTCACCAGCAATGAACTAACTCGGTACAGATACAAGGCACAAACTAAAGAACATGCAGATAAAGACACTAGCTCGTATCTAGTTTTCATCATGTTGTCTTTGTAAGGCAAACTCCTGATCCTAAAATGGTTGCTCACCAGCCGCTCTGTGAAGAATTCTATCAAGCTGCTTATTGCAGTATCACCCAACGGCTTTGACATTAATTGCATCAATAGCTCTCCAAGTAAGAGGATACCTGGAAGATCAAAGGTTATGTAGCTTAGAGTAAATACAGGAATAGAAGGAAGGGTAAAATGTAAATTACAGAGAAAAAGATAGAATTATCAGAAGAAAAAAGCAAGAATGTGTATAGATCTAATGTAGCTTTCAACATAAAGCACAAATAAGCAAGAGGTTTTATTGCAAGGGCACAAACGACAAGAATAAAAAATGCAAATGAAATTCAAGAGTAATAACTATAAACAGAAACAACAATCATGGGGACAATAAATTGAGAAAATTTATAACAAAGTTAAATAGTTGGTGTTCAGTACTTCTCTTCAAAACAAACCCTGTGGTGATAGACGAACACCTTCATGCCGCTATGCAAGACAAGCCCGTCATCCTGTTTTGCACCTTAGTAATAAGGTTTAAACACACCTCAAGCAAGCCACTGACAACAATGGAGAAAATTCCATGGACATGCAAAATTACTCACATTACTGCCACTACTAATCATGACATAGTTACATACACAATGTTTCTGGAGACCAATAATGAATATTTACTACGGTTCAAGAGAATAGCAAATCGGCATCTCGGAAAATTTTCAAAAACTTCAGTTCCATAATTACCCAAACGCAAATTTGTTACATCAACACATAATGTTTGTCTAATTAAATCCCCAATTGGCTAAACACTGATTTCAGATTTTTAACAGGAGATAACAAATCAATAGGACAATGCACAATAAGTTCCCAACAGATTTATCGGTTTTCTCAGCATCTCACTTTCCTGGACTATGTATACTCTTATGGAGAGGGCAGTACATCTTCCCTCAATTGCTCTTTCTAATAAAATTTCTCTAAATATCAAAAATAGTATATGGACACAGCACTCTTAAAAATCCCTATCCAAACACTGGAATAAAAAAAGGCGCAGAATAATGTGAAGATAAACAACTAGTCTACTTTTAAAATCCTCAAACGGGGTCACTTCGACCTTGTCCTGGACAACTTCATTCTTAGTCCTGTCCAACTCTAATGCAACATAATAATAATTGATTGGAAGAGAGTTGAACTACAGACAAAAATCCTAAATCACTCGAATCAGTCCCAGTCCCATACCAACAATTGCACTGTGAATTGGGGATGAATTTCCTTGTCTTCCTTCCGACAAATATTTCAATTATCAAAATTAATACCAATAACCAAAAGACGAAAGAAAAAAGAAAGGGTACCTCTTGAACGAATGATATTATCTGTAGTGGTCAAATACATCTCCATCTCCCTAACCTATATGTATTCACCCCAAATTTAGCTTCAAAAAACAAATAAATACACAAATTGCATAAAAAACATATCTTTACTGATCACCCACCAAAGTTTCTAAACTTAACAAGTCATTCTTCAGAAGAACAGCAATCGCATCAACGCTTGCCGCCTGAAAACACGAAATCAAGACGTGAAATTAGATACTTGTAAAACTTTCTTGACTTCTTGAAATTGTATGAAACTTTTCTTTGACTTCTTGAAATTGTATGAAAGAATACCTGCTGTGCCTCGGAGCTGGAAGAGCTAACGTAAGACTCAATGTGAATGACATACTGAATTGTCGGAGTGCCACCCATAACAGTAGAGTGACGGACGAGAAGAGGATTTTTAAGGAGAAAAGGTAATCGGAGGGTTTAAGGTATAGCGAGGGTTTTTCAAGTTTTGAGTAAATAAATTATGAGACTGTTAAATATATATATACCGTATAAAGTACGCGGGCAGTAAACGTGTTTCTTTAAAATTGGAAACAATAAAATGTTTTCACCTATAATATGGTTTATAAAGCATATAAAACAAGTTTTTTATTTGATATGATATCGAAATAGTTATTTGAGAAGAACTCACTTTTATAAGACATGTTTATTGATAAGTACTTGAGATATGATTACCGTTGTCGAAAAGTTTTAATATTTGCTTGAGAAATAATAATTTGGCATGTGTTTTCTTGAAGTTTGATATAATATGATTTGATAATACTTAAATGCTCTATTTGATTTTGAAAATACTTTCCTACATATACCTATTGTTCATATTAAAAAGTATAAATGAGAGTAGACCTTGATGGATTCCGTAGCTAACGAAGGGTTTGTTAGATTCGGTGAACCTTATAGTTATAGATTACTAATATAGCCCTTGCTAGTGGGAAGGTAATACTAGCATACCGTTATTGATATCCCTCAAGTAGGAATCTACGGCTAGGAATATTCGACTCCTTTATGAGGAGTTCATTGAAGGTCACACTAATTACATGATTCAAACTTGAAAACCTCTCAAATATAAGATTTGTTATGAAAGTGTTTCTCTGAGTTTTTTTTCTAAATGTTCACATTGAATTTTGCTTACATGAGACAAATAAGATTGAATATTGTTATCGTTTTTGAAAGGGCATTTATTTCATTATTTTGATTATCATACTAGCATGTTTTCTGACTTGTCCTTCATTTAAAATGATTGCAGTTAAGTGTTATTACTCAATGAGCTACCGTCTCACTCCTCCCTAAATATTTTTATAGAGAACTCGGGTAGCTTTGGCGATGATTTCATTAATTAGAGAGTACGGATTGATTAGTGATCCTCGCATTGCTTCGCATGACAAGTGATTTATCGAATTGCTATGGTTTATTTTGTTCTTTTAAAACTCTTAGAGTTACTTCATTTGCCCGTCCTTTTATTAGAATCATGATTATTTCTTCATATTGTAGTCAAGAGACTAGTTTTAAATTTCTTTTCATATTTGGAGAAGAATTGATATTATTGCATGGTTATTAAATTGATGATGAATATTGTGTCCTGGGTTAGAGATGTTATTAGTTGTGTTATTAATTTCTAAGACAGGGAAAAATTGAATTGGCCCAAAAACAGAGAGAATTCTTTTCGATTTTCGGTATATTTATGTTAAGGCTTGCTTTGAGATTCTTTGCAGTTAGCACTGGTCACATACTTAAATTGGATGGTGACAAAAGTAAAGCTTATTTTTATTGTAAGTAAAACTAACAAATAAGTCTCATACAATAAAAAGACAAAAAGGATTCTTGAAAAAGGCTTATGAACTTGACACATTTTGCGGTGTTGAAGTAGCTACAGTACAATAAATTGTCATGTAACTAAATCATGCAACTACAATCAATATTTTTACAAAGTTTAGAAATTTTCAAATGATAGTTCAATAAAAAAATATGACGAAAGAGGAGATCACCAAGCAAAGAATTGAAATGAAGAAGGAATAACTACGAAAGGTAAGAAAGGAAATCAGAAACATAATGCATGAAGTGTTGCAGGGAAAGACATTCTCTTTGATATTCCCTTCAACACTTTATGCAATGTGCTCGTGATTTCCTTCATCACCTTACGCAGTTATTTCTCCATCGTTTCAATCTTTTGTGTGGTAAACTCTTCTTTCGTCATCATATTTTTTTATTAAAACTAACATTGGAAGATCCCAAAATTTTATAGAAGTACTAATTGTAATTTCATGATTTGAAAACACCACAAGTTCATTGTGGTATGAACTATAGATGATTACAGTCATTTCAATACCATAAAATGTGCAATTCATAAGTCTTTTTTCAAGAGCTCTTTCTATCTTTTCTTGTATGAGACATCCTAGTGAGTTTTACTTTCAACGAAAGCAAACTTCACTTTTTTTCTATTCATAACAAAAGAGAAAGATAAATGAGTTTGTTTAGGAGGGGATCAAATAATTATGTTTCTGTTGTTGTGTGCTTTTTTGCCTAGGATTGACTCTTATTTATAAGGGAAATTTAGTTTTATAAATTTTTAAATAGTTTGAATTAGAGAATACTAAGTTGTCTGCAGTAGCTATTTTGGCATGTAACTAAATGTGAGTGTATTAGATACCAAGTTGCATATCATCATCTTGAAATATATGCCGTTTATGATTTTGATCTTGTTCTGACCAGAATTTTTGAGTCAAACTTTTCTTGTTATGACTAGATTTTTTGAGTCAAACTTTTTTTATTCTGACTAGATTTTTTTAGTCAAACTTTTTATATTAGGAAGATAATTCAGAGATTTGATTTGAGAAACATGTATCTACAAAAGATGGTCATCCACTTATATTAAAATATAGCTAGTTAATCGTTTTATTATTTATTATTATTTTTTCATTATTGAATATTCACAACTAATTGTAATTTGACAATTTATATGTGTCACTCCCCGAGCCTACACCCTGGACGTGGTCGGCACTCGAGAACCATTGTTGGACCCAAGTGAATTCTTGGTCTGGCTTAATACTCAGCGGAAGACTTACTCAAACTTAAAAGAACTTTTAAAAGTAAAACTTTAAACTCAATGTCTCAAAATAATAAACTCAGAAATGTATAAGAACATTCAACTGGCCAAAAAAAGGCAACTCGAGTCTCAAACATCAACAACAAAAATGAAAAAGACTCATGAACTACTATTGTCAATCTATCTATGAAGCCTCTAATACTATGAGGGATGTAGGGACAAGACCCCCGATCATCCTAACAAAACTGAAATAAATAGAAGTAAATGAGGGACCATCCGAAAGTAAGGAGGCTCACCAAAGTTAACTCGAAATGCTATGGTATCAACAAAACGTATGTTGATGACCTTGATCTCCTGTATCCGCATCATGAAATGATGCAGGCCAAATGACATCAGTACATTGAATGTACGAGCATGTAAGGGGAATATTGAATATAACATAAAAGCTTGAACTTGGAAAGAAGGAAACATACTCAGCTCAACTTTACTCAACTCAACCTCAACTCAATACAATATAAAACAATAATAAACATGCAGTTTATATAAAGCATTTAAAATAGTAGATAACAACTCAATGTATTTAAAATATAATAATAACTTAGTTTGTATGTAAAGATACAAAATAACTTAATTTGGGATATTCTCTAACCGACAACCATCGCTATGAGCTATGTGATGATACAACGTCTCGCCCACACTGCCAGAATTATCATATACCTTGCCGGGGTATAGAACTTTTCAACTAAGTAGATCCACTAAGCTATGCTTAAAAAACAATAAAGAATCATCTAAAAAGTATGACCATTTCTACCCATGTTGGCAATATGGTTTATGAGGACCTTGAGTTATCTGAACTCGTCCCCATATCGGTGCTCAATACTACTCCCAAAATATAACTCAGCTCATATGTTTAAAAACATTTCCTCGTCCTTAAACTTTGACATTATTACTCAAAAGACTTCTCTTAAAAGAGATAGTACTCAAAATTCCTCATGAACTCATTTGGAAATCGATATTTCCTCTCATCTTAAATGTAAAAACATTTACTCTTGGGAATACTTAGCTCTCATATATCATTTTGAAAAAAATGAACTCAACTCTCATCATCCTCAAACTCAAACTCAAGTACTCAAGTCTGAAAACAAGTTTTAAAAGATAGTAAAAGACTTCTCAAAATGACTCGAAATAACTCTCAAGACTTTACTCTTAACTCTACCTTGAATTTGAATTATGAATTCAAGGGTTATGATTCATGTTATGAAGGATATCTCTATGTTTAAATGTAGTTTAGAGTAGTTAGGAGTGAAGGTACACTTTTAGAGGACTTAGACAGAGCAAACGACGGAAAAATGGTGGCGGCAAGCGACCCTGGCGCACTGCTGGCGCGAGGAGCCAGCCCCTGAACTTCAGAGACTGGATTTTGGTGCACTGCTCGCGCGCCGCCCCAGACCTTCTAGCGCATCTGGGGGGCGCCGCCCCAGCCTCTCCCCAGAACTTCCTGACATATTTTTTTTCTCGTTTTTTATCCTAACTCACCTAGAATCGTTTGTTTTCCTCAATTTTTCCTTAGATTCAATTACCTAACACAAGTACACAAAAATCTACTTAAATTTTCTCGAGAACCACTCTCAACAATCGTAATCCTCACCTCAAAATTCATCAAACTTCATAAACAATCATGAAGAACAAAACCTCAATAACACCCATCAAGAATTCAAATCATTCAACCTCAAGAACGAAATTACGATAGAATTTACATGATTGGCGTGTGGGTGAACGAGCCCAACACTATGAAAGCTTACATACCTTAATTTGGCGTAATTCCTTGACAAATCTCACGGATCTTGAAGAACACCTTGAACCTTTCCTCTTTTCTCATCTTGAACTCTCTTCTAAAACCTAAGCGTAATACATGATTGTAAAATTGACCCAAATAAGATTTGACCCCAAATATTACTAAAAACGTTTTAAGTTGATAGGGTAAGAAAAAGACCAAAATACCCCTTATTAATTTGGGTAACCTTCCTTAACTGGCTGACTTCAAACGGGCATATCTCTCTCATCCAAACTTGAAACTTAGCAAACTTGGTGGCGTTGGAAAGAGGATTCCAAGACTTTTCATATGATATATTATGGGCCACCTAACTCATCCTATATCGAAAGTTATGATCGTTTGAAGCTGACCTAAAACTCACAATTTAAGCTTAACTAGAACAAATCTCAAATTTGATCTTTCTAAATTTAGCCTTTTCTAAGGCGGGATGTTACAATATATATTTGTGAATTGATCGTTTTGCCCTCCCGCGATTGACCCCGAGTCTTCTATGTTTGAGTTTGAAAAGTTGGTTTTGAACTTTGAGTTAAAAGTTGAGATTTTGGTAAGTTTTGGATTTGAAAGGCTAAGTTGTTAAGATGTGGTTTTCGATGTCTTTTGGAGTTTCGAGTGTCGGAATAGAATTCTGTCGATTCCATCAGTACCAAAAAGTAAAAGTTGATTCGTGAGAGTTGACGATTGTAGATTATGAGTCTTTTTGAGGATTTGAGGTCCTAGGTTGTGAAAGTGTGGAATTTTATCCTTTGGGTTCACTTTGGTCAATATTTGGGGTTCAGATGCTTGGATCGGAATTTCAAGAGTTATGTTGGATTCGAGGGATGATTTTAGGCCTAGGTGAGGTCTTGATTTATTTTTGAGAGGTCCCAAACATATTTTAGTCTTTTTAGGCGTTGAGTTAAATTCTTGTAATTTCTACGAATGTCGGATCAATGAGACCTTGGATTAGTATTTTTATGGTTCCATTGAGTTCGGAACATCGAGCATAATTGAGTTGCATATGTAGTTTATGTGCACAGGGTTTAAATTAAATCCTGAGGGTCCTTGCGATGACTTAAGAGTTGGTTGTATTTTTGTTGGTGTCTACGGGCCTCACTTTTGCGAAGGCTGGTCGCTTTAAGCGAGCTTCGCTAAAGCGGGAGCCTCTTTGCTTAAGCGAGCATCACAAAAGTTAAGTAGGCTTCGCTTAAGTGAGACCCACATTTTTCAGGGTTTAAGTGAACCCCTGGTTGCTTTTGCGACATCAGAGAGGGTTTGGCTGCCATTTTCGAGGTTTAAGCCCCATTTTTCCATTTTTGAGTTTTGGGAGCTTTTGCGTAACGATTCTTAACTCTAAATCTTCAACTGCCCATTATTATTTATGAATTTATGTGTTCAAATTAGTTTTTGAAATGAGAATTTGGGGTTATCTTCAAGAACCCAAGAACTTAGTAAAATAGTAATTTGAATTGATTTTGATTCCTTTTTTGAAATGGCTTTCTCTAATGAGTTCCTAAAGAGTTAAACACAATTTTCAAGTATTGTTTTTCAAATTGAAACCTCCATTTTGAAATTGACTTTTGAGTTGATTAACCCATTTCTCTACATAATGGATGTGGGAATTGTTGTTTCCGATGAGTTATTGTGAATACTTGATTATTATAGATTGTGGGGCTTTGGAAGTCATTCGGAAGGGGAAGACTCAACTCTTGGAGTGATTGTTGATTGATTTAAGGCAAGTGACTTCCTAACCCTCGTATTCTAGTAGAATTTGTGCACTTACTTCGTTGCTTGTGTGTTGAGAGTAATGGGGATGAGGTGAATGGTTTAATTGTCCACTTGTTACATCTAAATGAATAAAAGGGGGTTGAATTGAAAAAAGGCTATGTGATGAACATGATGATGTGAATTTCTTTGTTGTGACCCTTGTTGATTGGTTGATAAAATACTTGAAAGCATGAATGTGGACTTAAATTGTATGAATGGTTGTCTCTTCCATATGGTGTGATATTGCTTGTATGCATAGAATGTGAACACCATGATGAGACATGTGATGAATAGTAATGCCAAGGTCATTTTTGGCAAGTGTTTATAAAGCCGATGGAAAATGATTCCGGAAAGAGATCAATTATTGTGACTTGATGCATTTGATGCTTATGTGTGACTTGCTTGATACTTGAGATTTATGTACTTGTTGTGTGTGACTAAACTACTTGACTTTGAGATTGACTTAATTGATTCATTTGATTGTTGAATTGTGAAGATTAAACTGTGAATATTGGGCCTTGTGAGTCGTGTATCGTAGAACCGTTAAGTTGAGTTGATTTCTGTGTAGGTTAGAGTGTAAGGGGTATTTGATTTCTATCTAATTCTAATAAAAGAAGTAATAATTGTCTTAACAAGGTAGTGCATTATAAAATTTTATTAGAATAACATTTAAAAGATGATTGTTTGATTTATAGACTACATTATCTATGATTAATTAGGAATGAATTTAAAATTATAATTATTTGACTAATTTATTTATAATATCAAATTAATATGAGATGATATGAAATATTCATCACGAGTTATGGATTAAATCACACACAATACATTTCATACATACCATTATCATGAAATACATCTAAATTTAACACACAATTTTATCATTTAATTATAATAAATTGATATAACTTAATATATATTGTTAGTGCATGTAAAATTTTATTTTCATCTTAAAATTTTTATTGGGTCAGTTTGATTACATGGTTTAGTAGTTTGGCTCGTTAGTTCATTTCACCTCATTTAGTTTATTTGGATTAAACTTATTTTTGGTATTTATAAGCTTAAATAGTTTTTAGGCATTTTTATAATATTTGGGTAAGATTTAAAAAAAAATACTTCTAAACACTGTTTTAAAATTAAATAATAAAATAAATCATAAATTTAAATCTTAATTTATGATTTATTCTTATAAATTCTAAGTTCATCGTGTATTTTCTCATCCATCCATTTCCACCTCCATTTTACCCCATCTAATGTGATAACAATTAAACTAAAGACTTTGATTATAATAGAGACAATTATGTTCATAATAAACACGGCAATATAGACAATTATTAAGCATATGATGATTCCCAATAAAAAATTTAAAAATATTAATCATGGCATAAAATTATGTCTAGATATCCAAAAATTATTTTTTTTTCCAAAGAATCTGATATTAGTTAACTGCCATTATGATATAATATATTATTTTTTTAACAAAAAAATCTCATTGGGCATAAAAGGGAAAAATAATAAACAAAAGAAGTCACCATTATTGCACCGCCCTGCCCTGGAAAAATATATTTCTTGCCCATACCATTTCTTCTTTTGTTTATAAATATAAATTACTCCTTTATCACTGGATAAAATTCGTCATTTGGTTGGTGAAATTAGGTAAATAGAACATTTTATGAAATTAGCCGTCTCATATTTTGAAGTAATTATTTTCATAATTTTAATATAAAAATAAGATAAAATAACTTTAAAGTTATTATTACCTATAATCAGAAGCAAATAAATTCATAAATAGTTATAATTTAGAGCATAATTTGTGAATCATAGCTACAATTGCATATTTATTAAGCTATAGTTTCTATGTATAAGACATATATCGATTATATCAATGAAAAAATTGTATTCACAAGTATCAACTAAAAATATGCGTAAAAGCTATATCAATGTATATTGTATCAACGCATATATATCATGTATCTACTATAATAAAACACAAAATATAACTACATTTTTGTAATTTTTTAAAATTATAATTACATATCTTAAATATAATCTAAATATTTCCTTATGGCATAATTTTTTTTATAAAATAATTATTATTCTTATCCAAGTACCAAAGATAATTTGCTTTCATGAATGAATATGGACGTATTTCGTGGTAAAATAAACAATGAAATCTTGACAAAAAGATTAGCACAGCCGTGAGGCTGCTAACTGTTCCATATATAACTCAATCAATAATGGCGAAAACAGACAAGAGAAAGAAAAGATGCCGGAAAATTTGTTGACCCAAGTCGGAATACCTCAGCAGAAGCTTTACAATGGAGTTCCTTTCCCAGCTGTGTTAACTCCCAACTCTAATCAACCTAAATCCCAACTTCCTCAGATAATCAATGAACAAAAAACATGGATTGGGTCTCTTCTCCATCAATCTGGGGCTATTCTTTTTAGGGGATTTCCGGTGAACTCAGCATCAGACTTTAACGACGTCGTTGAAGCTTTCGGCTATGAGGAACTGCCGTACGTCGGCGGCGCTGCTCCTCGTACTAGTGTTGTTGGTCGTGTCTTCACTGCTAATGAATCCCCGCCTGATCAAAAAATTCCATTTCATCATGAAATGGCTCAGGTATATCATCTAGTATTTAATTGTAAGAAAAACTAGTTTGACTCTCCAATTTCAAACAGAGGCACGTAAATTGGGACGGAGAGAGTATAAACTACTAATGTATAAGTAATTATAAACTCTACAGAGTAGAATGGATAAAAAAGATCGTGCCTTTGTTTCAATTTGAGGTGTAATTGATTTTGAATTATTGATGGTTATAAAATCAAGAATCCGTAAAAATAGGTGATTGAGGAATCTTAGTAGCTCAGTTGGTTGCATACTCGATTCCCACCTTGTAATATTCTACCCCGTTTCCCCTCAAAATGGTGGATATAGATAATTGGTGTAAAATTTCTTAATTACATATATAACTTAAACTCTTTGTACAAAGAAAAACAGTGCCCTTTTTCTCTGTGTTATAAGATCAAGACTTTATTCTTTTCTTCAGCTAATTGTATTGGATATTAATTTTAGCATTTTTATTTTCACGGAGTAGGTTCCCGAGTATCCATCAAAATTGTTTTTCTTTTGTGATGTGGAACCTGGAAGTGGGGGAGAAACTCCAATAGTCCTAAGTCATGTTGTATATGAGAAGATGAAGGATAAGTATCCTGATTTTGTTGAGCGATTGGAAGAGCATGGCTTAATCTATATAAGGGTATTAGGGGAAGATGATGATCCTTCTTCCCCGATTGGTCGAGGCTGGAAGTCTACATTTTTAACCAAAGATAAGAGTGTTGCTGCAGAAAGGTTTGTACTTTGCTCCTTTGTTTTCTTTTAACTTGTTGTGTAGTTGCTAGGAAATATGTCTTCTTCTTTTTTTCACTCTTTAGTGTTACCTGTTGTTTCCTTTCATTTGGTTTACATATTGATTGTTGTTGCTACTGGTATTCATTACTGTATTTATTTCCTTCTTGTTTGATCTGCTTTACTCAAGATGAGGGTCTATCGGAAACAACCTTTCTACCCCTTATAAGATTGGAGTAAGGCTGCGTACACTCCACCCTCCCCAAATCCCATGGGTATGTTGTTGTAGCAGCAGCAGCTAGATGAGTTAACTGATACCTCTCTTGCACTATCTATATTCTTTATTAACTTGAAATTTTGCAGTAATGATGAACAAGTTTAACTCTTTCATATTGGGGGACAGTGTGAGATAAAATATCAGAGAAGTGGTAGAGATGGGTTCTTTTTTGAGCCTCTTCCTTATACTTCCCTAACTGCTATAAGTAATGAGTTAAGTTAACAGCAGACTGGTAAAGATGGTGCATGGAATATAAAACACATTAAATAGGGGAAGGAGTGAAGTAGGAATTGATGACAAAAACATAATTGTTGTAGTACAATTGCTTTTTGCTGCTGAAACAGACATCGACGTTGAATTGTTTATTTTTGGAGCTGGTGGTTGATGTTATTTCCATCACCTGACTTGCAGATTTCATGACCTTAGGGATTTGGTTGTTCAAATGGTGCAATACTTAAAGCAGTCATACTGTACCTTGCATATGAGGATATCTGATTCTAGTGTTTTGGAAAAGAGGAAGCTTCAAGATTTGTTAGGCATTGCATCATTTGAACAACATAAGGTCATGAAATATAAGACTCTGGTAACTGCAGTGGTAGAAAAATGTAGACAAGGCAGACGGTGTACTATTTCTGTGACAGACAAGAACGTTGCCTACTTGCTTGCACTATAAGAGACTGATTTGTTCATGAGTTTGCTTTGGGACAATAAAACTGGAAGATTATCCTGCATTATACTTCCCCCGCTACAAAAATCTACCTTAATGATTTTCATTTTGTTTTCCCACCCTTTACGTAGACGCGGGAGTATAATTGCCCCAGTTGTTTGTAATACATTTTCTTCACTAGGATGAAGGTTAATGGGTAGCTAATGTTGTTATGAAACCAAATGCCTGATAATTGTATAAGTACTAATTGACTTGCATGACATTTAACAGGGCTGCCAAGTTAGGGATGAAGCTGGAATGGCTAGAAGATGGAGTTAAAACCGTAATGGGACCTATACCAGGCATCAAATTCAACCAAGAAAGGCAGCAGAAAATATGGTTCAATAGCATGGTAGCTGCTTATACTGGATGGAAAGATGGTAGAAACGATCCTGTGAAAGCAGTCACTTTCGGAGATGGTCAGCCTTTGCCTGCTGAAGTTGTACATGATTGTTTAAGCATCCTTGAGGATGAAAGTGTTGCGATTCCATGGAAGAAAGGCGATGTCTTGCTGATTGATAATTTGGCTGTTCTTCACTCCAGGAAATCTTTCAACCCACCTCGTCGTGTGTTAGCTTCACTCTGCAAGTAAAAGCAATGATAAAGAATATAGGGATGAATTTTTCTGTTTGAAGTTTGTAGTAGTCTGCCTTCTATTTGGTCCTCTCTATGGCAGACTTGAAGAACTTAGTTCTCTCTCCTTTGATATTATCATTTTATGGTAATCATGCTGGTAGTTTTTATAGTATTGTTATCTTGTATGCATGGAGAACACCACCAACTAATCACTATTAGTCTACAAAGTACATCCCAAGGCCCTACTGGCAAAGATCTGGGTGTGTTTGGTATGGAGGAGAACAATTTCCAGAAAATGTTTTTCAATCTTCCCATGTTGGTTTGGTCACAATGCTTTATAAATAAAATTTCCATAGTAACACAATTTTCTTAAAGATTAGGAAATAATAGGGAAAACAAGTTTCATGAACCAATACTATAACTTTTACATTAGATCTTACAATGATTATATTAAATAAGAACACACCATTGTGAAATATACAATCTGCAGACAATAGAATGGAAGGAACTTAAACATTTTGGGTAATAATTGAAAACTATTACAATATATTAAATGCAAAGCTGCAGCTTGAACTCTCAGTATCCCAAAAAAGAAAAAGAAAAAAGAGGAAAAAATCCGCTATATGAAGATTACTCAGTGCATAAAAAAGATTACATTATAAAGAATGATAGGAAAAAAGTGACTGGACTGGTAAAATGGAGAAGATTGGCTTCAAAAATACAAGAGTACTATGTACATTATATATGAGGATGCAACGCAACACCTAGCATATGGACCTATCTTCCCTGCACAATGCCACTGAACACTTGACTGTTCCCAGCAAGAGTTGCTTCCCACTCCACAGAGGATAACATTATCTGTGAAAGTGTGATCACCACGTGCTTCATGTCCGGTCTCAATATTGGATCATCATCTGCACATTGCTTAGCCAGCATAGCCACCTACCAGAGTAAACACATCAATGATGGTGGACAGAATGAAATAAGTCGTGAAATTTCATTAGAAAATCAACCACCTATGTCACTCAGCTGATAATAACTATATATGAACTTCCAATCTTAAACTATCTCTTCTGTCTATTATATTAACTAAACCAGCTGAGGTAGTCAGTGGCCCTACCAATTATATGCACGTTATTATAGATGAGGCACAACTTGAACTGATTCAAAGTTGACAAACATAATTGTTAAGCTGCAACTTACCTTGAAAACGCAGTCAGAAGGGTACAAATCCATCAAACTGGGATCCAGCTGGTCCTTCAAGCTTGTCATACTAGTGGAGTCTGGTGAGTTCCTCAGAGCTGCCAGCATCTGCAATTATGTAGCATTAAGCACTGCTAAGAATTGATTCATAGTGTGCATATAAGTGGGTAAATATATATATATGTTATGCATAAGTATACCTATACATAGCCACAGCACAACACTGTAGGTACATAACAATAGGCAAGGGAATTTCAATTTTTTTTTAAAGTAAAGCATTTAGGAAGTTGATGAACTAATCCTAAACCTGAGAACAGTAAACTTCACAATTTGATAAAGATGCCAGATAGGCAATGGAATCTAGCCATACATTGACCAAGTCTGATGAATGTAAAAACATTTTTCAGAGCTTTCATGAATTTGATCTTACTCAATTGTATGATAAAATCGAAGTTTTTCATCTTTTTTAATCACATAACAGATAGAAGTGGCAACACAGGCAAATAGAATCCATTAGGAAGCATGCCTTCAATTTTGAACAGTTTGTGAGCAATAAGACTTACAATGGACACTAAGGAGCGTCTTTCTGCAGTTTTCATCACATTGCCTTCAGTCCTGGTGACGGCCTCTTTCCCTGTCAGCATCTCAAAAAGAACAACACCAAATGCATACACATCAGTCTTTTTAGTTGCCAGGCCATCCCTCAAGTACCTGCAAGAACAAGAGAAACAAACAAAATCAGAGAGATGTTTCAGTTTGTGTTCTTGCTTATTGTTGGTTATGTTGCTTACTCTGGAGCTACATAGCCATAGGTTCCAACAACTCGTGTTGCAGAGGCTTCTGCATCATTAGTTATCCCCATAAGTTTTGACAAACCAAAATCTGAAATCTGTTGCAAACACAGGCAATGAGAATTTGGGTTTGAAAAATGACAGCCACAAAGGAGAAAAATTGGGCACCAAAATAGCTACAACCTTTGCTCTAAAAGAATCATCAAGCAGGATGTTACTTGTCTTTATATCTCGATGCACATAATGCGGCTTGGTGTGCTCGTGAATGTATTCCAAGCCTCTAGCAGCATCAAGTGCAATTTGGACCCTCATGATCCAAGAGAGTGGTGTGTGGCCTACCCAAAATAAGAGGTCAGATCATCTAGTTTTTTCACCAAAATACAGCAGTGACAGGTCATTTCCATATCAACAACTGGAAAAAATGTATATATACACTACACAAAAATTCTGAGCTTAACGATTATCTTCAAGATGTGTACCTTTGTTCTGAGGATCATTCAAGTGGCTCTTAAGAGAACCCTTTTGGGCATATTCATAAACGAGGAATAATTCATCATTACTGACTGCATAGCCAATCAATTCTACCTTGACAAAATAATACCAAGACAGGAGTCAAAACTTTGAATTGATGTAGCACTATCATCAAGCTCCAAAAATAAAAACTCAGGATACTGCAGCGAAATTCAGTATTCATTACCAAATTCAAATGATGAACTTTACATAGAACTTTCATCTCAGCAGTAAATTCTTTTGTTTTAGTAGCAGTCATTCTTTTGATTGCAACTTCCTGAAAGATTAACGTTCCAAAGACATAAGCAAGTTAATACGCCATGTTGACAGGAAATCTATCAATATAGGTAAAGTTGAGAGAAGTAACCTGGTTGCGGAGGATGGCGTAATAGACAGAACCATAGGTTCCATGACCAAGAAGATTGGAGTCAGAAAATCCATCGGTAGAAGATAGAATGTCTTCATAGGCGAAAACAAGAGGTTTTTCCATGTCAAAGACATCAGTACCTATAACTGCAAGGAAGCCCAAAATAGTCAGTTTTTGTTTGTTTTTTTTTTAAAAAAAAAAGAATAGTCAATTATTATATTGAGAAATCCTGCATGATAGTGAAACTACATTTTCCCCCATTATGAGCACAGGAGAAAAAGTTCTATGAACATTTTCAAATACTCCTTTTACCATTGTGGCACACCATTAGAAGCGAGTAAAGGACTAAGGCCAGCATAGGCTTGGCAATTTCAACTAATCCCGGCTAATTATCTTGTTCGGACTCTTCATTAATGTCGACAGGTTCGTGTCACATCCTTCAAAAGTAGTTTGTTTTTTGAGGATTCAACACGGGTGCGGCAACATTTTGGAGAGTCTGAGCAACATAGGACGGCTATAACTACGTCATGTTTACTGTTTAGACATCCATTCTCGTGAAACTCAAGTTCAAGGGCACAACTTGAAATTTAGTGGGATATTCCTGATGTGTAACCTTCACATTACAGTTTGCTTATGACATGTATACCTTAAGATGGGTAAAAGAAGTATTATTTAATTTTGAGAGCTTATTTGACATCTTGGCTGATTTGCTTCTATTTGACTATGATAACTTGATCAGTACCATGCCTATCATTTTCAGAAGTATTATAGAATAGCTTAGTTTTAGTTTTAGTTTTATGTAGCCATCTGAAACTCCAATCAAGGATATTTTTACATAATGATTATAGAACCAAACTCCTTTTGCTTTTCCTAACTTCCCATCCCCTCTCTAGCAGGAGTTCAATAAGTCTATAACAGGTGTGGCTTATGATTTGCTTTGATGGATTTCAGATCACACGCATATTTTAATACATATAAGCACATGACTTGATCTCATGCATAATAGTTTGGAGGAAATTAACAGGAAGGACCTTCAGTAATATCAATAAAAAGCATGAATGTCTATGTTCTGACCTTTTGGAATATTAATCTGTTGGTCAGTAGATTCTCCTTTCGGTTCTTGCTGGTCCCCTGAGCTACCGCAAATGTACCTTCCTGATGCACAACAGAAACTTGTATTTCGAAGTATCTGGAACTTATGAGAAATCTTTTCATTTGAACCTGCTGTGTGACTTCTCTCAGTTCTGGAAAAACAACTTGACGACCTCCAGGTAACAAAAGCAAGAATGACGACAATCAGGAGAAGACCAGCACCCAAACCCCCAATTATCCACCAGTAAATAGCATGACTCTTATGATTCTCCTCAACTCCTGCAGATATAGTCGAAAATTGGAGGTGTTTTACTCCTCAACCGAAAGGTAGCTATCTAAAACACATTTACTGCAGGGAAAAATTCCACTAAGAAATGGAGTCCTGAAATACTTCTGAGGATTATCTTTCTTTAATTAAGAGAGCAACCATAGGATGAAAAAACTTAGCAAACCAACATTGGGAGGACAACAACAACAACATACCCAATATAATCCCACAAGTAGGGTATGGGGAGGGTAGAGTGCACACACCCTTACCCCTATACCTTGACAAGGTAGAGAGGTTGTTCCTGATATGCCATTGGCTAAAGTAAAGCATATCAAATCAGGTATGAAACTCACGGGGAAAGGAGCAGTAGCAACAACAAACCAACATTGAAAGGAGAACTATTAAATGAATTACAAGGTTACTGCAAAGATGAATTGAGAATATGACTGTCAGGGATATATGAATTTATTGTGGATTTGTTAGATAAACTCCTCAGTGCCATGAAAGAATAAAAACCTATCAATTAAGAGGAAATCAGAGAAACAGTTGAGGTTACACCTAATTAAGGGGAAACTTTGTCCTCCTTACATTGTTCATTTTCTTCTGACAGATTTTCTCATAAAAGAAATATTTTATTTTTTTTGAAAATGGTAATGGTGTATTCTTCAGCATTAAGGAGATGCTGGTGACCTGCAAACAGAGGCGAACAAAAGAAGAGAAAAAAAAAAATACTTACAAGGGTCCTAATAATTCTACAATCTGTTCTGTATCCTCTAAACCTTTCTCTTTACACCAAAAATAAAAGGATGCAATACAATCCCATCTAACCTTCTGCTTGGCACTGTCCATATAACACAGGGGTATGCAAAAAACTGAATGACTAATAGATTTTTAACGCAGCCAAAAGTTGGTGATAGAATAGAGCTAAATTCAGTTGACT